GGGGGGGGGTCAAACTCGCGGTTTGGGGTCCCGGGGGGGGGGATTATGGGGGGGGCAATCCCACACGCCTAGAGACCCACAGGGGGCGGCGGATTTTGCACCACATGCACTGGCTCATTTTTGTATACATCTATTTCTATGTATATCACCACGTATGTATATACATGACACAACGTAGATTAGACAACGTGTGTTGCCAGAAATGATATTGGAGACAAGCCCCAATCATAACCTTTTTAGGGCTATAGGGATGCAGGGCTATGAGGCCCATAGGGCTGTAGGGCTTTAGGGCTATAGGGCTATAAAGCTATGGGGCTATAGGGCTATTTGGGCCATAGGGCTATAGGGCCATAGGGCTAAAGGGCTAAAGGGCTATAGTGCTATTAGGGCTATAGGGCTATACGGCTATAGGGCTACAGGGCTACAGGGCTGTAGGGCTACATGGCTGTAAGGCTATCGGAGGTTGGGGGGTGAGTCCGACGTGAAACAGAGACCCCCCTACCGGGAAATCGATTTCGGTTTCGGGTTCGTGTCGTGCGTGCCGTGCGCGCGTGCGGGCGAGGCGAAGCTGCGTGGGCGGGCGAAAGGAAATCATCCTGTGGCTGGGCCGCGGCCGGACCAAATGTTTCTCCTCCGGCGGCCGGTGGCCCGCGGTGTCCCGCCAGTGTCCCGCTGGTGTCCCGAAATCCTCTTGTGGCTGGGCCGCGGCTGGACCAAATGTTTCTCCTCCGGCGGCTGGTGGCCCGCGGTGTCCCGCTGGTGTCCCGCGCTGATCTGTTCGCCGGTGTCTTGCTGGCACCAAGCTTTACTCGTGCCTCGAGCGCTGGACCTGTAACCAAGGCAGCATCGGGTGGCGCCACAATCAGTCACTGTGGCACCGCAGCGCACGTTCGACCACGTTGACTAGCGCTGAGGCGAGGTTCGCGCGATTGATAAGCGCACGCGGGGACAGCGCTTCACGACAATGTCGAGCGCGCTTAAGCGCCAACATCGCTACATCACATCACGCTCACGTGCACAGTCGCACTACTCACTAGACTCCGCCCCACAAGCATCGTCAGAACAACAATCATCACTTGTAGCATTCGAAGTTGCACAGGTTGTATCCGTATGCGCAAATGTGCCGCGTGCGCATTCATATTCGTATTCGGTTCAGCTTTATGCGTGTTATGCAAATTACGGTAAGCCATAGCATTAGTTTCGGCAGTATCCGTAGTAGCTGCGGTAGTGGTAAACCGCCATCGTTTCAGGATTGTTGGCAGTCTTGGCGTTTTCGTTTGTCCTCGTGTTCGCCATGCGTACGATTAATATTGTTAATTTGCGTTGGCAGTAGTATTACTCTGATCAGCAATCGTAGCCGCCGCGGTAGCAATAATAGTAGCCTTACTATTATTAGTGTTGTTGTTATACATAGTATTTTTATTATTGTTATTCGTATTATTAGTTGTAGTCGTAGTAGTACCCGTAGTAGTACCCGTAGTAGTAGTAGTAGTAGTAGTAGTAGTAGTAGTAGTAGTAGTAGTAGTAGTTAGTAGTAGTAGTAGTAGTAGTAGTAGTAGTAGTAGTAGTAGTAGTAGTAGTAGTAGTAGTAGTAGTAGTAGTAGTAGTAGTAGTAGTAGTAGTAGTAGTAGTAGTAGTAGTAGTAGTAGTAGTAGTAGTAGTAGTAGTAGTAGTAGTAGTCAGTAGTAGTAGTAGTAGTAGTAGTAGTAGTAGTAGTAGTAGTAGTAGTAGTAGTAGTAGTAGTAGTAGTAGTAGTAAGTAGTAGTAGTAGTAGTAGTAGTAGAGTAGTAGTAGTAGTAGTAGTAGTAGTAGTAGTAGTAGTAGTAGTAGTAGTAGTAGTAGTAGTAGTAGTAGTAGTAGTAGTAGTAGTAGTAGTAGTCGTAGTATAGTAGTAGTCGTAGTAGTAGTAGTAGTAGTAGTAGTAGTAGTAGTAGTAGTAGTAGTAGTAGTAGTAGTAGTGGTAGTAGTAGTAGTCGTAGTGTAGTCGTCATCGTCGTAGTAGAAGTAGTAGTAATAGTAGTAGTCGTAGTAGTAGTAGTAGTAGTCGTCGCCGTCGTCGTCGTCGTAGTAGTCGTAGTAGTCGTAGTAGTAGTAGTAGTAGTAGTAGTAGTAGTAGTAGTAGTAGTAGTAGTAGTAGTAGTAGTAGTAGTAGTAGTAGTAGTACTCGTAGTACTCGTAGTAGTAGTAGTAGTAGTAGTAGTAGTAGTAGTAGTAGTAGTAGTAGTAGTAGTAGTAGTAGTGGTAGTATTCGTCGTCGTAGTCTGCTTGTTGTCGTCGTCATCGTCGTCGTCGTCGCGTTGGTATGGGCCAGAAGAGGGACTGCCAGGCCACTGTGGAGAATTGTGTTGGGTTTCCGCCGCACGGGTGTCATCTCGACCCTTGCTCTGGGGGACAGTTCTGCGCTCTGAACTAATTATTGATGGCCGCGGGGCCCGAACAAATGTGCTCTGGAGGGCGAATTGTCAGCAAACGCCGCCGTTGGAAAAACAAGCAATCCGCCAGAGGTCCAGGGTCTTGGCTGTGCTAGCTCGGAGAGGTCACACCAAGGGCTGGCCATGCTGGGGCGCGTGCCGATGCGAGTGTGGAAGCGGACCCAGCCGCGGCGACGAGGGCGCGGTGGGTGGCCCCCCAAAAGGGCTATCACAGCAAAAACCATGCGAGCCAGCGCGTGCCCCAAACAACAGAGCTGGCTCCAGCAACCCATGCAGTGCAATCTCTCTGGAGCAATGTCTGTGGGGCAGTCTACGTGGTGCCATCGGCGTTATGCAGCACACGTGGTGCAATACATGTGGAGCAGACTACGTGGTGCAATCCATGTGGTGCTGTAGCGGCGGTGCAATATGCGTGGTGCAATATATGTGGTGCGACCTGTGCTGTGAAATCTATGTTGTGCAACGAATGTGGTGCAGCCGATGTGTTCTTCAACTTGTGTGGTGCACTGTGGTGTGCAATCTATGTTGTGCAATGTATGTGGTGCAGTCGATATGGTGCCGTCTATGCGATGCACGCTGTGTAGTGCGGTCTGTGGTTTGCAATCTAGTCGGTGACGGGGCGGCGACGGCGACCATCCAGCCGACGGGCGGGCGGCGGGCGGCGACGAGGCGGCGACGGGGCCTCGACGGCGAGCACGGAACCGCCAGACCGACACCCAGGCAAAGGCGACGGGCGGCGACGGGGCGGCGACGGCGAGCACGGACCGCCAGACCGGCACCCAGGCCCAGTTCCTCCGAGCAGAAGTTGAAGCCCACGAGTGCAGGCACCGTGCGGGGAACCGAGAAATTCTACGATGCCCGGAAGCTCGAGGCACACGAAGCGAAACATCCCAGCTAAGCATCCTGAACATCGAATCGCGACGTCGGACATCTGGGTGACTGGCCTCCTTGGCGGCTGGCGGCGCGGCTGTGATATGAATTCCCGCGGCGGTTTGAGTCCGCGGCCGCTCGAGGCTGGCAGGCGGTTGGGCGGGCTTCGCCGGAGCCCGCGGGCCGCAGCAGCCTCCTCCTCTGCCTGGCGCTCGTCGCTGTGCTTCCCGACGGCCACCGCCTTCGTCCGCGACCGTCGACGTCCACGGCGACGTCGACGACGACTTCTGGACGAGGCGGCTGCGCCGTGCTGCAGCACCGTGGCCCCCTGCTGCTCGCCGTCCTCCTCCTGGCCTCGGAGGAGGCAAGGGTACCCATGGAGCTACCCTGGCCTCGTTTTCGCATGTTGGGGCCTCCTGGGAGGCCCTCGTCGCCGCCGCTGGATTCGCATCGAAATTCTAGCCAGAGCGCACCCAGGAGAGGTCCAGGCAGTGGCGGTATCGGTATTTTTTTGCTTCCCCATGTCTATCTCTTCCGGCACCCTCGGCTCTTTCGGTGGCAAATATTGGGAGCCTGGTATACCTTCTTAATTTCGTTTTTAGCGTCGATTAGCGCTGATCAGCGTCCGGAGTCGATGATGCAGCGCCGATTTAGCGTCGGTGAGCGTCGCCTATCGTCGATTCGCGTCGATTTAGTGTCGACCAGCGTCGATTCGCAAGATCTGGCAAGATGGTTATGAGAGGCTCCCATGAGTTGCCGCCGAAGGCTCTTTCGTCAGGAGAGGAGCGCGGCGTCCGACGGGTGCTGACCTATCTTCAGTTATCTCCCTTTTCCCGTCGCCCCGCTGCTCTCGCCCGCCCCCTTCTGCTCCTGATCCTCCTCGTCCATTTCGATCCGATCGATCCGATTCCATCTCGATTCAAGTACTGAGGAGGAGGAGGAGGAGGAGGAGGAGGAGGAGGAGGAGGAGGTGTCCTGACGATCCGATTCGCCTAGATGGTCGCATGGCGCCGGTGTGCGTCCTGTCGCTTGCCGCGGGCGACTCGATCCGATTCCGACTCCGTGTTGGTGCAGCCCGATTCGACGCAGGCTCCGATCCAGGCCGGTGTCACGATTCCGTGCTGGTCCTACCTCATCATCATTACCATTTCCCTCGCCCCTCCTCTGCGTAGTTACTCTCCTCCTGCTTGTCCTTCCCCTCCTCGTCATCTTTTTCCTGATGATCATTTTGCGTGCTCGTGCAGCGCTGCCGATTTCACTAGGTTGAGGGGTAAAGGCTTTGCGGCCGGGAGCAGGGGCGGGGGAGAGCGGGGAAGCAGGGGAAGGGGGGGAGGAGGAGGAGGAGGAGGAGGAGGAGGAGGAGGAGGAGGAGGAGGAGGAGGAGGAGGAAGGAGGAGGAGGCGGAGGAGGAAGAGGAGGAGGAGGAGGAGGAGGAGGAGGGGAGGAGGAGGAGGAGGAGGAGGAGGAGGAGGAGGAGCAGGAGCGCAGGGCAGGAGGAGGAGGAGAGGAGGGGAGGAGAGGAGGAGGGCAGGAGGAGAAGGAGAAGGAAAGGGAGTAAGAGGAAGGGGGGAGGTGGAGTAGGGGACGAGGATGTGGTCCCTGGAGATCTTTCTGGGTTCCTGGTTGGGATGTCCTGGAGATTGTTGGAGGTTTCTGGGGGTTCTTGGGGACACCAGGGAGTTCCTTCACGGGGCAGGGATGGGGTGGAAGGCAAGCCGTTGGGCCAGATACTGCTACACCATAGCAACTTTTTCAACTATTGCGCCATCGTTTGGCAATTTCAACGCTGCGCGCCAGTGGAACGACATCGGTTGGGCCACGCACGGCAATTTCTCCGCCTCCGAAGCCCCGCTGAGAGCTGCAGGGAGGGGCCAGGGAGGGATCCGCGGGCAGGAGGAGGAGGAGGAGGAGGAGAGGAGGAGGAGGAGGAGGAGGAGGAGGAGGAGGAGGAGGAGGAGAGCTGGAGGAGAGTGAGGAGGAGTGAGGAGGAGGAGGAGGAGGAGGAGGAGGAGGAGGAGGAGGAGGAGGAAGAGGAGGAGGAGAGGAGAAGAGGAGGAGGAGGAGGAGGAGGAGGTGGAGGAGGAGGAGGAGGAGGAGGAGGAGGAGAAGGAGGAGGAGGAGGAGGAGGAGTGGAGGAGCTGGAGGACGTGTGAGGAGGAGGAGGAGGAGGAGGAGGAGGAGGAGGAGGGGAGAAGCAGGAGGAGGAGGAGAAGTCGGAGGAGGAGGAGGGGGGGAGGGAGGAGGAGGAGGAGGAGGAGGAGGGGAGGAGGAGGAGGAGTGTTGGAAGAGGGTCGAGCTTGGCGGCGAGGGCAGCTGCCAGGGCTGCCCTGGCCGAGGCTCGGCGACGGTGGGCGTCAGCGGACCACCTCACCCTCCGCCTCATCCTTCTCCTTCTCCTCCTGCTCCTCCTCCTGCTTCTCCTTCTCCTCCTCCTCCTCCTACTGCTCCTCATCCTCCTCCTCCTCGTCCTCCACCTGGCACGCTCGACTCCTCCTCGTCCTCCTCCTCCTCCTCATCATCCTCCTCATCCTCCTCATCCTTCTTCTTCTGACCGATCCCAGCCGGGCCGCTCCTGGGCCCAGGCCTCTCAGGAGGGGGAAAACGCACATACAGACACAATCCATCGTCGAGTCCCCCGAGAACATGGGAAAGCATGTGAGGGGTGGGGGGGAAGGAAGACGAAAGCCCAGAAAGTAGGAAAAATAAGCATTGGGAATCCTGGGGTCTGTGAAGATTCATTCGTGTGTCCCTGGGCTCCGTCGGACTTGTGCCCGCGCCCTCCCTGGCTTCGCCAGGGCTGTGCCCAGGCGCCGATCCCGGGCCTGAGGGGTCCGGGCCGGCATCGCTGGTGCGCGCGGTGGTCCGCTGCGGCCCCCCACCTGGCGGAGCTCAGCCGACGCTCGTCGGGGGCGGCCAGGAGGGGGGATGACTAGGGGGGGATGAACCGGTAGTGACCCCCCCCCCTTTTCATGATGAACTGGGGGGGGGGAGGGGTTCGAACCGGTAGTGACCCCCCCCGGTTTTCCCGAGGGGGGGGGGAGGGGTTCGAACCGGTAGTGACCCCCCCCCCGGTTTTCCGCCAGCAGCTGTAGAACACGCTCTTTCCATGGTGTTGACCATGAGATTTCCTCGGATCTCATGGCGCCGCTTCTCATTTCATTGTGTCCCTGGCCCCCCCCCATGGGCCGCGCACACGCCGCCGGCCATGATTTGCACCCCCCCCGCTCTTGGACGCTCCCCTCTTGGTCGCCCCCGAGCTTGGTGGAGCTTTCTGGTCTGA